GTAGTGGTGGTAGAGGGGCAGCTGTGGTAGTGGTGGTAGAGGGGCAGCTGTGGTAGTGGTGGTAGAGGGGCAGCTGTGGTAGTGGTGGTAGAGGGGCAGCTGTGGTAGTGGTGGTAGAGGGGCAGCTGTGGTAGTGGTGGTAGAGGGGCAGCTGTGGTAGTGGTGGTAGAGGGGCAGCTGTGGTAGTGGTGGTAGAGGGGCAGCTGTGGTAGTGGTGGTAGAGGGGCAGCTGTGGTAGTGGTGGTAGAGGGGCAGCTGTGGTAGTGGTGGTAGAGGGGCAGCTGTGGTAGTGGTGGTAGAGGGGCAGCTGTGGTAGTGGTGGTAGAGGGGCAGCTGTGGTAGTGGTGGTAGAGGGGCAGCTGTGGTAGTGGTGGTAGAGGGGCAGCTGTGGTAGTGGTGGTAGAGGGGCAGCTGTGGTAGAGGGGCAGCTGTGGTAGAGGGGCAGCTGTGGTAGTGGTGGTAGAGGGGCAGCTGTGGTAGTGGTGGTAGAGGGGCAGCTGTGGTAGTGGTGGTGGACACGGGGTAGTGCAGGAGGTGCAGCTGTGTTATGATAAGCTACAAGCTCCTTTGTCGTCGCCATTAGGCAACCATTTAAGATATTATTAAGTCTCAGTTTAACATATTTTGTACACAATCATGTTTATTACTCATTAGATATTAATTATATATCACAACGTTGAATTTGCTGTAATAGGTCTATTATAATTACGAGGTGAATGTCTAGAAACATCTAGTTAATAAACGCGCCCTAAACACGCGGTAAATTTTGGCGGGAAACCCACATTGGGTAGAGGTAGCCCGTAGTCACGTGGTTCGCTTTGTTTATAAACACGTTCCCCCATGTGGCCCCTCCCAGTCACTCCCCCTCCCCACGCCCCTCCCTCCTACCCCCCCAAACACGAGGGTGAGTAAGAGCGGCCAGGCCACAAAGGATGCATTTTCACGGCCTGGAATGCATTTTTTTATAATACATTCCACTGGTCGGTTCGAGTTTAAAACAAAATGAACTAGCTGGGCTTGATTACGTCGGAGGCTGACCGTTTTCCGAGTACAGAGCGTCGCTTCTTTGTTATGGTGGAGCGGGTCCCGGCAAGCCGCTCCGTCGTGGCCTGGCGACCGAGGACGGATTTAGCCTCGGGCCGCGTTCCCCAGGCACAAGGAAAAAAATATATATTACAAGCCACATAATGCTGAGTAAGGGGCCCAGAGTGCGGGCCGAGCCTTGTGTAACTCGTTCTGGAACTCCTGGGAAGGTGGACATCATAGTTGAGGTTGCTGGGTGTGAAGGGACTAACATGGAGTGGTAAGGGGCCCATCGATACATGGCTGACCGATGACTCATTGGTATTTTGTATCTAGTTGCATCCTGTATCGCAGTGGTCAAGGGGTCCGGCCGTGTAGGCGGTTCACAAGCTAAAGGGCCCGGGTTCGACTCCCGCGCAAGAGGACGACGTTTAAGGACGTTACCTTTACCTGATGCCTCTGTTCACCAATTGGTACATAGGAACCACGGTAGGCAACTGTTGTCTGCATCCTGTACACCTTGATACGCCTAACACGCATCCTGCCCCCTGGTGGTATCAGCAGGAAACAATATCCTGGCTGATTGTATATTAATGTTAACAAATGAATAAAAAAATGGCCATTACAATTACCAAAACAGGAGTCATGTTAAACACATATTCTAATTATTCATTAAAACATGTCATTTCCTCAATTATATTTGCGTTAATTTGGAGTTTTAATAGAGTGACTATTGCACCACGTTGCACAGCGGCCGTAGTCCAGTTGGAACCTCGTTGAAAGTAGGAAAAAGTTGTCTATACCTGGATGTACTTGAAGCCAGAGTGCTTGTATGTATAGTCGAGAGTGTTATACAATGGTATATCTTTCTTGTATGCGAGACTGTGTATTAATGGGTAATTGTGTTCATTATGGGTTCCTATATAACCCATCCTGTACCCAGTAGGTTCAATAAGACTGTGTATTAATGGGTAATTGTGTTCATTATGGGTTCCTATATAACCCATCCTGTACCCAGTAGGTTCAATAAGACTGTGTATTAATGGGTAATTGTGCTCATTATGGGTTCCTATATAACCCATCCTGTACCTAGTAGGTTCAATAAGCCATACCCAACCACTTAGACCATCAGGGATCGAACGCCGACTCTGCAACCCTGATACGACGTAGAAACAACGTTTATTACGTTATCAAGGTTGATTTAACCTTGAACTGGCGTTTCTCTTTGACAGCGTTGCCAAAAGGTTGGTGCGGGTGGGATGGTTAGTTATATAGTGGGTTCAGGCGCTGGTGCAAGGCATCACAAGCCTGTGACGCAACATCTTGCGAAACCTGTACATCTTCCGTTAATCATGGTGACTTTGTTGACATTTATTGAACAGTTTATGAACTCCGGACTACTTTGAGGTGGTGTGTGCCCACACTAACCTTGCGGGTGGGAGGTTTCCAAGCTCCTAAACTGTTTAATAAATGTAAACAAAGCCGCCATGATTAGGGAAAGTATTCTATAGTTTGTTGCACGTGTGTGTATACCAGTTTACATATTCTTGCACGGGAGTCTACCAGTTTACAGTTTCTTTGGCTGTGTCTTTAAAACTTGAACACAACTTTAAAGCGATTGGAGACCACTTACAATTATTGTGTTATATATGGATCTATATATGTATTTTATATATGTGATCTATATATGGTATATATGGATCTATATATGTTATATGTATATGTGACATGAGGAGATGTGTGTGGGGAAATGGGTTCAAGTGCAGAGGTTCGGTCTTACATTTTATAATTTTTTAATAAACTGGACTTCGGGGCAAATAAACTGTTTACTGGACCTGTGAGTGAGCAGGTCCAGTTTATTGTGACTTCCGGCTCAAAATATGAGCCGTTACTCACTGTCATGAGTGACAGGTTTGTTGAGTAAGCTGAGTCCTTACTGGAGGTAGGATCAGAGTGCCCCCTATGGGAGTTATGGTTTGGTTCATTTATTATGCACCCCATACCCATCCTGTGGGTGGTAGTGGACCCCATACCCATCCTGTGGGTGGTAGTGGACCCCATACCCATCCTGTGGGTGGTAGTGGACCCCATACCCATCCTGTGGGTGGTAGTGGACCCCATACCCATCCTGTGGGTGGTAGTGGACCCCATACCCATCCTGTGGGTGGTAGTGGACCCCATACCCATCCTGTGGGTGGTAGTGGACCCCATACCCATCCTGTGGGTGGTAGTGGACCCCATACCCATCCTGGTTGATACCTGGTTGATACCTGGTTGATGGGGTTCTGGGAGTTCTTCTACTCCCCAAGCCCGGCCCGAGGCCAGGCTCGACTTGTGAGAGTTTGGTCCACCAGGCTGTTGCTTGGAGCGGCCCGCAGGCCCACATACCCACCACAGTCCGGTTGGTCCGGCACTCCTTGGAGGAAACAATCTAGTTTCCTCTTGAAGATGTCCACGGTTGTTCCGGCAATATTTCTTATGCTCGCTGGGAGGACGTTGAACAACCGCGGACCTCTGATGTTTATACAGTGTTCTCTGATTATGCCTATGGCACCTCTGCTCTTCACTGGTTCTATTCTACATTTTCTTCCATATCGTTCACTCCAGTACGTTGTTATTTTACTGTGTAGATTTGGTACTTGGCCCTCCAGTATCTTCCAGGTGTATATTATTTGATATCTCTCTCGTCTTCTTTCTAGTGAGTACATTTGGAGGGCTTTAAGACGATCCCAATAATTTAGGTGCTTTATCTCGTCTATGCGTGCCGTATATGTTCTCTGTATTCCCTCTATTTCAGCAATCTCTCCTGCTCTGAAGGGGGAAGTGAGTACTGAGCAGTACTCATTATTTCATTCATTTTCTCATACATTCTTTAATGTGTATACTACGTCCTCTCCCTTCCCCTCTTCTCTTCCCCCCCCCCCCTCCCTCCTCCTCCTCCTCCTCCTGGACGTGACTCCCACACTTCCCCATTCTTGCCTGGTCTTCCTGTTGAGTCATATCCTGTTCCCTGGGGCCCCCGGCTGCCTGCTGTCCTCATGTTGACAAAGTCTGGAACTGGTTTATCGCTGTTGGAAATGCCTCGCCTGAACCAATATTATTATGTGTGGTATTTCCCGCTCATACTAGGGGTAAGTGTGTGTACTCACCTAGTTGTATTCACTTAGTTGTGTTTGCGGGGGTTGAGCTCTGGCTCTTTGGTCCCGCCTCTCAACCGTCAATCAACAGGTGTACAGATTCCTGAGCCTACTGGGCTCTATCATATCTACATTTGAAACTGTGTATGGAGTCAGCCTCCACCACATCACTGCCTAATGCATTCCATCTGTTAACTACTCTGACACTGAAAAAAATCTTTCTAACGTCCCTGTGGCTCATGTGGGTACTCAGTCTCCACCTGTGTCCCCTTGTTCGCGTCCCACCCGTGTTGAATAGTTTATCCTTATCTACCCTGTTAATTCCTCTGAGAATTTTATAGGTAGTGATCATGTCTCCCCTTACTCTTGTGTTTGGCAGACCCTTGTCATCACAAACACACACATCTCCCCCCCCCATACCCACGCCTGTTCCCCCACTTCCTCCCCCCCCCCCCATTCCTCATCTTCCCCCTCATGCTACTTAACGTAATAACTGATGACCGAGCATGCTTGCGACCCCCCCCCACAACCCCCCCCCCACAACCCCCCCCCCCCCTCAACCCCCTCCCCCACAACCCCCACCGAGGATAGTGAGACGGAGGAAATTAAGATATCCCACTCCCCAAGAACATGTCAGAAGAGTGAGGAGAGTTAACACAAGACACCAATGTCTAAGTGGTTCATATTGTGCCTTAAGGCTGGAGACTTAATACGCGATTTACTCATCAGTTGACTGACAGTTGAGAGGCGGGACCAAAGAGCCGAAGCTCAACTTCCCTCCCCCCTCAAGAGCAATTAGGTGAGTACACGAGTCGTGATGATGTATCTTAACTGGAGTCGTTAACGTGTTCTCTCGTTATTTTGCGTGGGGGTGTGAGCGTTGGTGGCGGTGTGAGCGTTGGTGGCGGTGTGAGCGTTGGTGGCGGTGTGAGCGTTGGTGGCGGTGTGAGCGTTGGTGGCGGTGTGAGCGTTGGTGGCAGTGTGAGCGTTGGTGGCCGTGTGAGCGTTGGTGGCAGTGTGAGCGTTGGTGGCAGTGTGAGCGTTGGTGGCAGTGTGAGCGTTGGTGGCGGTGTGAGCGTTGGTGGCAGTGTGAGCGTTGGTGGCGGTGTGTGAGCGTTGGTGGCGGTGTGTGAGCGTTGGTGGCAGAGTGAGCGTTGGTGGCGGTGTTGACAACGCGGGCTTGTGAATGGACCCCTTAGCTGGGGGATTGTTGCGGCGACTCACCGCGCGGTGAATGGGGCCCAGATTGTGAGGTGAATGGGTGCTCATTCCTACCCCTCAACACGTGGCTTTTGGAAGCCAATGTTTTTTTGGCCGGATGTGAACGTTTCGCTTCGAAAATTGACGTTTTTACTGTAGGCATAAACGTTCAGATTTGTGCATGAGTCATGATTAAGTGATTATCTGTGGACTAGAGAGGTGAAAGTTGTCAATTGGTCTCTATCAGTTATAGAAAATATAGTCGTGTGCATTGATTTCTATCAAACGATAGCCGAATGGTTTGTGAGATACGCCAAGTAGACAAGCTACAGAGAGGGTACGGTAAGTGTAGACTTGTAACTCAGTTCCTTCTTCTCAACCTCTTATGCTCAATAGTCACACCAAATCCATGCACAATAACACCATTCCCCGCTGTTACAACTGATATACCAGCCTGTGGTGCACGAGTGTCTTAGGCTCTTTTGTGAATCTTGGAAGATGTAATTCCCCCGTTCTGTCGTCCAAGACTCGAAGCATCTGTCGAGACTCGAGCCATCTGTCGAGACTCAAGAATCAAGACTCGAAGCATCTGTCGAGTCTTGGCAACCGTGATAGGATAAGGGGTCAGAAGTCGTCAAGCACGACACCCCCACAAGACACTGAGGTCTTATCTGTGGCGACAGCGTGGAGGGGCTCCAAGGAATGTGTTTACTGGCGCCGTGGGCCGCTAGGAGAATCCCTCAGGTCCCGGGAATCAATTACCAGACACACGTCAGGGAGTCGCCCTCCTCTTGCAGCCTCCAGGACAGCTTAGTCTGTAGACTTACTGCACAGTTTACCTGCTCCACTTCCAGGTCGTCCTCAGCACTGTAATTACGGTAAACTGTCGTGGTTGTGGTACGAGGGACTTAAGCCAGAGTCGGCAGGTTCGTAAGACATGTGTCTGAAGCCATGCCCGTCTATCACGAGATATAAAGTTAGTTGTCTCAAGGTGGATTTTTTATACATTTTCTGATTATTTTCTGAAGTATTTGCCCAACCACTTGGGCTGGACGGTAGAGCGACGGTCTCGCTTCATGCAGGTCGGCGTTCAATCCCCGACCGTCCACAAGTGGTTGGGCACCATTCCTTCCCCCCGTCCCATCCCAAATCCTTATCCTGACCCCTTTCCCAGTGTTATATAGTCGTAATGGCTTGGAGCTTTCTCGTGATAGTTCCCTTCCCTTCTGAACTATTTTGCTAGCTATTCAAGTCAATAGCCGATTAGTTCTATTTACCTAATTACGTGTGTGGGATCGAACATATGGTCTTATTAAGGGGCTTATTAATAAGGATTAAGACCGTCACTGGATAAGGGAGTACCTAAGCAACAGAAAACAGCGAGTCACTGTGAGGGGTGAAGTCCCGGAGTGGCGAGGCGACGGTATTGGGATTTCCTGGTGTGTATAGTTAGGGTGAGAGGCGGACTGTCCGCCTTGCTGACACCGTGTGTGTGTGTGTGTGTGTGTGTGTGTACTCACCTAGTTGTACTCACCTAGTTGTGTTTGCGGGGGTTGAGCTCTGGCTCTTTGGTCCCGCCTCTCAACCGTCAATCAACTGGTGTACAGGTTCCTGAGCCTATCGGGCTCTGTCATATCTACACTTGAAACTGTGTATGGAGTCAGCCTCCACCACATCACCCCCTAATGCATTCCATTTGTCAACCACTCTGACACTAAAAAAGTTCTTTCTAATATCTCTTTAGAAAGTGTGTGTGTGTGTGTGTGTGTGTGTGTGTGTGTGTGTGTGTGTGTGTGTGTGTTTGTATTCACCTAGTTGTGCTTGCAGGGGTTGAGCTCTGCTCTTTCGGCCCGCCTCTCAACTGTCAATCATTTTTATTTCCACACACACACACACACACACACACACACACACACACACACACACACACACACACACACACACACACACACACACACACACACACACACACACACACACACACACACCCAGGAAGCAGCCCGTAACAGCGGTCTAACTCCCAGGTACCTATTTACTGCTAGGTGAACAGAGGAATCAGGGTGAAAGAAACTCTGCCCTATTTATTTTCCGCCTCTACCGGGGATCGAACCCGGAACCTCAGGACTACGAAACCGAAGCGCTATCCACTCAGCCGTCAGCCCCCCTCCGCCCCCCCCCCCGACACACACACAGGAAGCAGCCCACACCAGTTGCCAAACTCCCACGGGTACCTATTTACTGCTAGGTGAACAGAGGTACCAGGTAGAAAAACAATAATAGGTTCCTGAACATCTCTATCCTGCTGCAGAAACCGTAATTGGGACCTATTGCTTGTGAGCCGGCCGGGACCTATTGATTGTGAGCCGGCCGGGACCTATTGCTTGTGAGCCGGCTGGGACCTATTGCTTGTGAACCGGCTGGGACCTATTGATTGTGAGCCGGCTGGGACCTATTGATTGTGAGCCGGCTGGGACCTATTGTTTGTGAGCCGGCTGGGACCTATTGCTTGTGAGCCGGCTGGGACCTATTGCTTGTGAGCCGGCTGGGACCTATTGTTTGTGAGCCGGCTGGAACCTATTGCTTGTGAGCCGGCTGGGACCTATTGCTTGTGAGCCGGCTGGGACCTATTGCTTGTGAGCCGGCTGGGACCTATTGTTTGTGAGCCGGCTGGGACCTATTGCTTGTGAGCCGGCTGGGACCTATTGCTTGTGAGCCGGCCGGGACCTATTGATTGTGAGCCGGCTGGGACCTATTGATTGTGAGCCGGCTGGGACCTACTGATTGTGAGCCGGCTGGGACCTATTGCTTGTGAGCCGGCCGGGACCTATTGCTTGTGAGCCGGCCGGGACCTATTGCTTGTGAGCCGGCCGGGACCTATTGATTGTCAGCCGGCCGGGACCTATTGCTTGTGAGCCGGCCGGGACCTATTGCTTGTGAGCCGGCCCGGCTCCAGAGGACTACGAGGTTGTTTACAACAATAACAACCTCGGGTTGTTGGTAAACTGGTACAATAAGTGTAAATCAAGAGAAAATCAGTTGAAGCCGTGAGAAGGATTCGAACCTGCACCCTGGGTACGTCCAGTGGTTTAAAGGCGTGTGCTGGTACCTCCCGCAGGTTCGAATCCACCTCGTGGCTCCAACTGATTTTTCTCACTGATACATGACGTTAATGTGATTTCTTGTGTGCAAGTTGTAAACAAAGTTGTGATGATTGAAAAAAGATGTAGAGGTTTCGTAAGAGATTGCGTAAATGCTCGGTGAAGCTTGACCCTAGACTCTACGAGTGGTGGTGTTAACCTTCCTGTTATAATATCCAGGGGCCAGATTCACGAAGCAGTTACGCAAGCACTTACGAACCTGCCCATCTTTTCTCAATCTTTGGCGGCTTTGTTTACAATTATTAAACAGTTAATGAACTCCGAAGCACCAGGAGGCTGTTTATAACAATAACAACAGTTGAATGGAAAGTTTTCCTGCTTGTAAACTGTTTAATAAATGTAAACAAAGCCGCCAAAGATTGAGGAAAGATGTACAGGTTGGTAAGTGCTTGCGTAACTGCTTCGTGACTCTGGCCCTCAGCTCTGGACCTGATGATATTAGTATTTCTCAAGTTCACCACCAGAGGTCTCACTTAATTATTGATCGTATGCAGATCTGTATAGGCTCGTGTGTGGTGTTTGTTGATCGTGGCGTTGCTATGTGGGTACGTTTACGGGCCAAACAGTTACGTGCTCACTGACGAAACCTCTATATCTTTCTTACATCACTGCGGCGGTGTATTAAAACAGCTAGCGAGGAGCCCCGAGACGTCACAACCCATGGTTATTATTGTTATAAACAGCCTCGTTGTGTTTCGGAGCTCTTGACCTGTTTAATACATGTAAACAAAGCCGTCATGATTGAAGATATACAGGTTTCGGAAGAGGACACTTAGGTGCTCCATGAACCCCGGTGAAGGTCTTGGCAGACGTGGAGAGTTCAAGTTCAAGTAAGTTTATTGAGACAAGAAAAAAAAAATACATCTCAAAGGGATAGAGTAGCTTAGGCTATTTCTACCCTCCCCCCCCTGAGGTACTAAGTTAAGATTTGGTTAGACAGAAGCTGTATTTCAAACAAAAAATATATTTTGCTGTATTTCAAACAAAAAATATATTTTGCTGTATTTCAAACAAAAAATATATATTTTGCTGTATTTCAAACAAAAATATATATTTTGCTGTATTTCAAACAAAAAATATATATTTTGCTGTATTTCAAACAAAAAAATATATTTTGCTGTATTTCAAACAAAAATATATTTTTCCTGGTTAAATATTTGAATATTTGAGGCAATACTTCACTGCCTCTTGTTATCACATATTTTGTTGTGGTAATGTACTCGTGTTAACTTGTTATCACAATGAATCATCTTGTGTTTAACGAAACACACACATGTCTTAGTATAACTTGTGTACAGTTGTTTTAACACGTGTTATTGTTGCTTAATCTTGTACTTTCTTCACACCTCGTAGCCTAGTTGACCGAATGAATGGAGACGCTTGCAAAGTTAATTATAATTCTGACATATTGCTGTTATTGCTCAGCAGTTTAGCTTTTGAACGTTGATTACTTTCTTTATCAAGTGCTGCGCATCTGTGGAGTCGAGTAGTGCCTCGACTCTCTATCTCCTGAGGCATGATAAAACGTTGGGAGAAGTAGCAGCAGCCATTATCATGCGACTAGGCTTCGTTCCCAGCCGCTACCCCTCCCCTTCTCTCTCTCTCTCACTCCCTGCAGACCCCCTCCCATCACCCCTCCTCTCCCATCCCCTCCTGGTGCCCATCACGTCATGACCTTGCCGCCTGTACCTGGTGTGTCATAACTGCATGACTCGTCCATGCCCGCCACCACAGTTCCAAAGGGTCACAGTGTGTTAGAGAATCAGTATGTCAGAGATAGAGTCTTGCGTCCTCATCATTGTGAGAGGGGTTGGGGACGGGGGTTTATCCGGCTAAAGAGGAAGCACACACACACACACTCTAGCCCTCTTCTTCGTGGTACGGGCTCACCATAGCCCGTGCTACATGCAC